CTTCCTGGGGGTGTGTAACAAAAAGGAGGCCTGGTCGAGGACCGGGCCGCGGGGACGCTAAGGCCCGAAATTATCTCAAGATAACCTCAAGAAGATAACCTGCCAGTTGCTGATAATTGCCATTTACTCTGCCTTTTAAAAACCTGTTATTTGCATCGTTAATTATCCATTATTTAACTCACGCTCTTTCCTCACCTTAAATACTCACCGTCTTGTATTATAGCTTCTATACGCTTTTACTCACATCAATTCGTCACTATAACTTTCACTCGTTATATCTCACTCACATTCACTCACCACCACCAACATTTTTTTCGTATAACAACATTCTTTTTCCCCCACTCACCAGACTTTCACTCACCACCACATCCTGTTCACACTCACCACACCTCACTCACCCTCATACCTAACACTCGGCACAATCATCACAACAACAATTGTTACTCACCACTATCACCATCAAAATCAACAACTCTACTTATAACATAATCCTTACTCACCATCACCACACCATCTCGTGGTGTGGTGATGGTGATGTGGCTTACATTAACCTCAGTAACTTACACTGACCCCAGTAACTTACACTGACCCCAGTAACTTCCACTGACCCCAGTAACTAACACTGACCCCAGTAACTTACAATGACCCCAGTAACTAACACTAACCCCAGTAACTATTACAGACCCCATTAACTAACACTGACCCCAGTAACTATTACAGACCCCAGTAACTAACACTGACCTCAGTAACTAACACTGACCCCAGTAACTAACACTGACCCCAGTAACTTCCACTGACCCGAGTAACTATTATAGACCCCAGTAACTAACACTGACCCCAGTAACTTCCACTGACCCCAGTAACTAACACTGACCCCAGTAACTTACACTGACCCCAGGAACTTACACTGATCCTAGTAACTTACACTGATCCCAGTAACTTACAATGACCCCAGTAACTTCCACTGACCCCAGTAACTTACACTGACCCCAGTAACTTACACTGATCCTAGTAACTTACACTTACCCCAGTAACTTACACTGACCCCAGTAACTTACACTGACCCCAGTAACTAACACTGACCCTAGTAACTATTACAGACCCCAGTAACTAACTCTGACCCCAGTAACTATTACAGACCACAGTAACTAACACTGACCCCAGTAACTAACACTGACCCCAGTAACTATTACAGACCCCAGTAACTATTACAGACCCCAGTAACTTACACTGACCCCCAGTAACTATTACAGACCACAGTAACTAACACTGACCCCAGTAACTATTACAGACCACAGTAACTAACACTGACCCCAGTAACTATTACAGACCACAGTAACTAACACTGACCCCAGTAACTATTACAGACCACAGTAACTAACACTGACCCCCAGTAACTAACACTGACCCCAGTAACTAGCACTGACCCCAGTAACTAACACTGACCCCAGTAACTAACTCTGACCCCAGTAACTAACACAGACCCCAGTAACTAACACTGACCCCAGTAACTAACACTGACCCCCAGTAACTAACACTGACCCCAGTAACTAGCACTGACCCCAGTAACTAACACTGACCCCAGTAACTAACACTGACCCCAGTAACTAACACTGACCCCAGTAACTAACACTGACCCCAGTAACTAACACTGAGCCCAAATTGACAATGGGAATGGATAGATAAATGGATAGATATTATGAAGAGGTTGATGTATAGATGGATAGGTGGATAGATGGATGGAGAGATAGACAGGTGAGTAGATTGATGGATAGGTGGGTAGATAGATAGACACATAAATGAATGAATAGATTGATAGATACATGAATAGAAAGATGAATAGGTGGATGGATAGATATATGGATGGGTGGAAAGAATGATGAATAGATAAGTAGACAGATATGTGGATAGATAGATGTACTGATATATAGATGGATAGATATATAGATATATTGACAGATATATGGATAGATGGGCAGAGAGATGTATAGATAGATGGACGGATAGGTTGGAAGGATAGATAGATAGATAGATGAATAGGTGGATGGATAGATAGACGTGTGGATTCAAATTAGATGGATGGATAGATGGGAGAGAGAGAGAGACAGACCCGGGCAACACCGGGTAACCCTCTAGTAATCTCTATATACTATAAGAAGTAATGCCTGATAGTCCACAGCTGGAGAGCGGAAGGATGGCGCCGGCCTTATCCAAACTTGTAAGGGTGACTGGTCTGTGGTACGGGACAGACATAGGCTGGTCATGGTAGACCTAAATTAAAATGATTTAAGAAACAGTAACAGTTATTTACCCTCTCCCGGACCCCTGCTCCCCCCCCCCCTCAACCATTCGAGTCTCACGGATTCAATTCTGGCCAAAACTGAAATGTTGGGGGAGACGACCCAAGATTTTTTTGACGTCATCAGCATAACACATTATTACAAAGAGAAGTTTCGTTGCTCCTTAATACAAAATTATATTTCTTTTTATGAAAGGGAAGAGGGGCTAAGCCTTTGGGGGGGAGAGGGGGGGGAGGGCGCCTGAAAGGTGGAGATGGGGGTGGAGGGGGGAGGGAGGGGGGAGGGAGGGGGGAGGGAGGGGGGAGGGAGGGGGGAGGGAGGGAGGGAGAACGTTGAGAAGGGCGGGAGGGGAAGGGGAGGGATAGGGAGGGGATGGGGAGGAACCGAGGGGAAAGGGCAGGAACGGGTGGGGTGAGTGTGAAGGATGAGGGGTGGGGGATGGGTGGGGGGGAGGACGTAGAGAGATGGATGGATAGATTCATGCAAAGATTGATGGATAGATAGATAGATAGATGGTTGATAAGACAGAGTCCGATGCAGAGATAAATGGTTGGATAGATCGATAGATGAGTAGATTGAGGGATAGATAAGTACATGGACAGATAAATAGATGAATGCATTGATAGACGGACTGATAGACGGATGGAAAGATGGATGAATATATCTTTAGAAGGACGGATAAATTGATGGGTGGATAGATGGATAGATTAATTGATGGGTGGATAGATGGACGGATAAATTGATGGGTGAATAGATGGATAGATTAATTGATGGGTGGATAGATGGACGGATAAATTGATGGGTGGATAGATGGACGGATAAATTGATGGGTCGATAAATGGATGGATAGACGGATTGATAGGTGGATAGGTAGATGGATGAATAGATAGATGGATATATAGAAAGACAGATGGATAGATGAATGGATGTATATATGGATGCTCAGATGTATGAATAGAAAGATGGATAGATGAACTGATATATGGATAGATGGACAGACAGATGGATGGGTGTTTCGATGGATAGATTGATGGATAGGTAGATGGATGGATGGATAGATGGACATATAGATGGATAGATAGATAGACGGATGGATAGACATATTGACTTATGGATGGAAAATTATAAGATGAATTTGCTGGATAAATAGATAGACGATAAATGGATATTTGAATGGATAGATAGATGGAAGGATAGACAGATAGATGGATAGATAGATAGACAACGACTGAATGAAGCACTTGCTATTAGGTAGTATTCTGGTAGACTTTTTTTTGTTTTTCCTGAACACTTGTTAAGAATTTTCTTCTCCTAAAACCCCCTAATTTTTGTCATTGCATATTTAGCAAACATATGCATCATTTAGCACTCAATTGGAACGAAGTGAGCGTGAAAATTCCCTGGTTCATGCGAAAGAGGCAGGTGTGTGTGGACAGAATTCACTTGTCTGCACCTCGCCTCTGTGTGTGTCATTCTGGAAGGTAGAGGTAGATATTATTCTACCTCCAGATGTTATTCTGGAGGTAGAGAATCTACGCGTGTGTTTGCGATACGCATTTTGTAAGCTGGTTATTATATACCCGCGTTAGCAGCGCTTTTTGTGTGTGTTGGAGCGGTTGAATGTGAGATATCGTGTTGGGTTGGATTATTAAAACTCAGTTGATTTGTGGCGCTGTTCTGCATGTTTGGGGTGAGCGACTTGTGATATGTCCGTGGACAATCAATCAGAAATCAGTTATAAGTGAATTTGTGAGTGATCGAGGGGACCCATTTGTATGTATAGGTGGTTCTCATAGTTTGACCACCGTAATGTTTACGTTGGGGGTACACAACATAGACATTGTGGCGCACTAGATGAAATAGCAAGATGTAGGCGATGAGTCACAATAACGTGGCTAAAGTATGTTGACCAGACCACACACTAGAAGGTGAAGGGACGACGACGTTTCGGTCCGTCCTGGACCATTCTCAAGTCGATCAGTCCATTCTCAACCGACTTGAAAATGGTCCAGAACGGACCGAAACGTCGTCGTCCCTTCACCTTCTAGTGTGTGGTTTGGTCAACAGCAAGATATATTAATCAATACTGGCACGTTATTCCTGCCTCGCCTTGGTACTGTTATTCCCAACACCAAACAAGTTATGAGAGACAAATTTGACCAATTCCATTAATTTGATATATATTAATTCAAACAAATTACATTAAAATTTGTTCATTTAAGTTATATGAGAGTTTCGTAACGTAATATTCATTCTCCTTCCTGTCCCTTGTAGGGCTAAACGGGCACTGATCTTCGCAGTCTTATGCCTCTGGAATAAGCCCCAATGCGAGAAAATACTGAAGCCATGCAATTGGATCGAACTACCGTACAGCTTCTATATGTTCTCATAGATCCATCAAGTTGTTATTTCATTGTAAACTTCACGATGACGCCCAAATATTGACTTTCCTCTTTAATATTATTGTTGGTGTCATCAGCATTTGTAATGTTATTGTTTTTATATGTTTTCTAACTTTTGTAACAACAATTATATATTATTTTTTATTCTGAACTTCTTTAAATCTAAATATTTTATGCTGGGAACTTCAAATTACAAAATTTCTTTATATATTCCAGAAACTAAGCAAACATTAAATCCTTATAACTCTTCGTTTTGAATAGATTAAGTCATGTAAGGCAGCACATGAAAACCACAAAATATATAATTACAAAAGATTTTATTATACAAAGTCCTAAAAGATAAAAAAATCTTAAATATATAAATAGTATCACAGATGTATTTACAAAATAAAACAAAAGAGTGAGTTTGTACAGGGAGGCCGTGAGGACGCGGTCAGTGGCCTCCGGGACCTAACACAATCAGAGATCACAGAAGCTAACGCGTCAGGACTCACCCTTGACACAGAGGTCCAACGTACCGGGCTCCAAATTCCAACATACACGGTACCTGGTAGTGTCACTCCCCCAGTACCCGGTAGTAGTAGTAGTGGCAAGTCCCCGGTACTGCCAGTGGGCCGTGTCCGGGAAGTGGCTGTGCCAGGGGAGTGGGAGGGGGAGCGTATGGGTGGTCCGTCTCCGCAAGATGCGAGGTACACGCAAGTTGCGAGGCACACGCAAGTTGCGAGGTACACGCAAGATGCGAGGTAGACAAGACGCGTTTTGATTACAACAATACTAAGGCTTAGCTATCTATCACTTGGTCGCTTCGCGGTATCACAGGAGTGGTAAGGCTCGGCACAGGTACTTGGTACTGGTACTTGGTACAGGTACTGGTACTAACACTGGTACAGTTACTGGTGCTCTTCACCGGTAGAACTCCTTCGCAGGGGCCGCGAACACCCCAGTCACCTGAGATCGTTTCCTCCGTCGTGTGACCCCCTCTACACGACATTTTATGCCGGCGAGGGACGCACGTGAGAGCTAGATGGGAAGGAGGGATGAGGGGAGAGGGAGGCCCCTACATCCATGGACGCGGGGAAGGTGTACCAGGATTCCCTGAGGACCAATAGTGAGTTGGGGAGGACACGGAGGCGGTGCTGAGAGCAGCGCTGAGGAAGGCGAGATCTGGGGGTGGACGGGACTGGGAATCACTCTGCTGTGTCTGCTGCAGTTGCTCCAGTGCACGGAAGTCGAATCTATAGGCGTAGCGCTTGCCGTGTACCTTCGTCATGAGGTTCCTGTCGTAGTAGTATCGTAGCGCGCGGGAGAGCTTGTCGTAGTTCATGTTGGGTTTGGACTTGCGTTCTCCCCAGCGGCGAGCTACTTCATCAGGGTCGAGGATCTTGAACTCTCCTGCTGTACCTTCCCAGGTGATGACGGAGGCGTTGGCTGCATCTGACAGCAACTCCAGCAGGAACTGCCACAGCTGGATCTGACCTGATCCCTGAGCGGACAGTTTGACACAGAGTGGGCCTAAGATCTCATACGGGTCACCCTCGATCTGGTCATCTTGAGAGTCACCTTCAGCTTCTAGAACATCCGGAAACTCGTCCTGTGGGAGGCTGCGACCGTTGTTACCAAGAAGGATGTCGAGGTGCTGAGCTAAAACTCGACCCGAGTTGTTGCCAACCTTGCGCTGAATCTGGCTTCTGGTCAGTCTGCAGAGTTCACAGCCTGGGGGAAGAAGAGAGGTTGCATGTCAACTCAAGAACACTCGAATAAGCAATCAAAATAAATCTCTATGCCGAGGATGTATTTATTATAAACATTGAGGTCGCATGATGGTACCGGATGGTGCGTGCCACGGTCCAAGTCTGACAGTATTTATGGTTAAGATACTTGAGTAGCTGATGAGTAGCTCATCATGGTTGAGTTGGAACTGTCTGAGTAGTCCAGCGACACGAATTGGATCCCATTATACGACCTCATTATGTGATCTCATTATGTTCTCAAGACTAGAGTGTAAAATGATTGAATAGCAGCTCATTGCATGCCTCCTTTATGAACGGTGCCATAATAAGGAAATGCATTCTATGGTGTCAATACACTACACTACACTCAGGAGGGGAGGTGACTTACCGGTGGAGGGCAGCAGTGACGGGCTGAGTGTAGGAGGCAAGTCAAACTCTTTTCTTGCCCATGCAATCCATGACCTGATATCCTGGGCAGTCCAGATTCGTGGATCTGTTGAGATGAGAGAGAGAGAGAACTGGTTATTTATTGTCATTCAATACATCACCAAATATATTAACAAACAATAAATATCAAGAAATTCACAATGATAGTCACAAAAGACAGACAGACAGACAGACAGACAGACAGACAGACAGACAGACAGACAGACAGACAGACAGACAGACAGACAGACAGACAGACAGACAGACAGACAGACACACACACACACACACACACACACACACACACACACACACACACACACGACAAAACTCGAACGCCAGCCACATTAAAGAAAAAAAGTGCGCCCGATACAAATAAATAGTCAACAGGTAGGTACAACAAGGCTAGAAGCTTGGGCGTAAAGTGCTACTTCTCACCCCCCCCCCTCCATCCGTATTCACTATTAGGTAAACATTATTAAGTAAGGCGACACGCGTCCCAGAAAGAGTGTTGGTGGGTGACAAGCGCCTGGCTGTCGCCCGCCTCGCCACGCCCCCACAGATCCCAGGGTTCGAGGAATCCCTCAACCCACCCTCCCTTGAGCCAAGACGCTGTGACCGGTCCCGCATAAATGCTGACGCAAGAGATATTTGTGTTTAGAATTATTTTGGGAAAATGAAGGTAGTGGAAGAGGACAGAGAAAAATAAGGGCAAATATTTTTTTTATACGAGTAGGCAGATACATAAAGCGTGAGAGAGAAGACACAGAAAGATGCATTCATGTTTCCCCCATGCTTGGGTATGGGTATATCATGTTTCCCCCTATGCTGGGGTATGGGTATATCATGTTCCCCCATGCTGGGGTATGGGTATATCATGTTTCCCCCATGCTGGGGTATGGGTATATCATGTTCCCCCATGCTGGGGTATGGGTATATCATGTTTCCCCCATGCTGGGGTATGGGTATATCATGTTCCCCCATGCTGGGGTATGGGTATATCATGTTTCCCCCATGCTGGGGTATGGGTATATCATGTTCCCCCATGCTGGGGTATGGGTATATCATGTTTCCCCCATGCTGGGGTATGGGTATATCATGTTCCCCCATGCTGGGGTATGGGTATATCATGTTTCCCCCATGCTGGGGTATGGGTATATCATGTTCCCCCATGCTGGGGTATGGGTATATCATGTTTCCCCCATGCTGGGGTATGGGTATATCATGTTCCCGCATGCTGGGGTATGGGTATATCATGTTTCCCCCATGCTGGGGTATGGGTATATCATGTTTCCCCCATGCTGGGGTATGGGTATATCATGTTTCCCCCATGCTGGGGTATGGGTATATCATGTTTCCCCCATGCTGGGGTATGGGTATATCATGTTTCCCCCATGCTGGGGTATGGGTATATCATGTTTCCCCCATGCTGGGGTATGGGTATATCATGTTCCCCCATGCTGGGGTATGGGTATATCATGTTTCCCCCATGCTGGGGTATGGGTATATCATGTTTTCCCCATGCTGGGGGTATGGGTATATCATGTTTCCCCCATGCTGGGGGTATGGGTATATAATGTTTCCCCCATGCTGGGGGTATGGGTATATCATGTTCCCCCATGCTGGGGGTATGGGTATATCATGTTTCCCCCATGCTGGGGGTATGGGTATATAATGTTTCCCCCATGCTGGGGGTATGGGTATATCATGTTCCCCCATGCTGGGGTATGGGTATATCATGTTTCCCCCATGCTGGAGGTATGGGTATATCATGTTCCCCCATGCTGGGGTATGGGTATATCATGTTTCCCCCATGCTGGGGGTATGGGTACATCATGTTTCCCCCATGCTGGGGTATGGGTATATCACGCCGTGTATCAGTATTGGTCAACAAGCAAACAGAGCACATGCCACACTGACGGGTGCTGAGTGGCCTCGGCCGAGATGGTGCATGTTGAGCCTGCCGGCGGCATTTGCTTGTTTGTGTGACTGGTTGATTGGTTCACGTCTCAATACTAGACACGTTCCCGCTGCTGCGTGAGCGTACATGTACTCCCCCCGCGAGTGTGGGTCTCCACGGAGGGGGTCAAACCAATTCTTTACGATATCAATTTGCTCCCCCAGGGGGAATCATTTAAGGGCGCCCAACTATATCGAGTCTCTGTGATGCTTCAGCTACTCAGACCGGTTGACTGAGGCTATTTATCGTTCCTCTAATCCCTCCCTCCCTTCCCCCGCTGCCCCCTCCCCCCCACCTTCCCTACAACATCAGCACCCTGTGTGTCTGGCGGATATATTTATTTCTGTAGTGTCACTTCGCATGTAATCGGCTATTTTCGGACGGCCAAATAAAAGCGGGAGTATTTATAGTGTTGTGGGTGTGTGTGTGGGTGTGTGTGTGTAGGGGGGGGGGTGTAGGTGTGTGTGTGTGTGTGGTGTGTGTGTGTGTGTGTGTGTGTGTGTGTGTGTGTGTGTGTGTGTGTGTGTGTGTGTGTGTGTGTGTGTGTGTGTGTGTGTGTGTGTGAGTGTGTGTGCTTCAATGACCTGGCAAGCATGGCTGGTATTCGTCTGGGAGTTACGTAGACCTTATGTGGAGGAGCGCGTGTGTGTCGTGTGTGTGTATGTATGTATGTATGTATGTATGTATGTATGTATGTATATGTGTGCGTGTGTGTGTGTGTGTGTATGTGTATGTGTATGTGTGTGTGTGTGTGTGTGTGTGTGTGTGTGTGTGTGTGTGTGTGTAAGCTGTGTTATGTTTGTGTGTATGTGTATATATATATATATATATATATATATATATATATATATATATATATATATATATATATATATATATATATATATATATATATATACAAATATATATATATATATATATAAATATAAATATAAATATAAATATATATACACTCGATGTAGAATACAGTACAACTGCATCAACATTATCCTTATCGCAAGAGCTTGCATCATGGGCCAGTCAGCGCCATTCATCGATAAGAAAGATAAGTGGGCAAGGGTGTATGAAGGAGGAGAGTTAGCCTTAACCCCGGCTTCCTCCCCTTCCACAAACTCGCCCTCAATTGCTCTTATCACAAGTGATAAGGTTGTTTCCAGGAAATAGAACTTATCTTCTCGTATCTTTTGGCTGAAGACTGGTGAAAATCCCAACCTTACTTACGTTATAAAAGATACAAATTATGATACAATAATATTTTGAATTAATGTGGTATAATAAACTTGAATGAAGTCCATAAATAATAGATTAAGTAGACAGAGGGATTGAGAGAGATTGAACAAAGGCAAAATTTAGTAGAGAGACTTGAAGGAAGGGCAGAGGAGCATCGTAGAAAAGGAAAACAGACGGAAGGGAAGGATTGATGTGGAGAGTATTAAGGTTGCAGTGATGGGTGGAGAAGCATAGATGAAAAGGGAGGGCGAAGTGTAGAGATTGTGAGAAGGAGGGGTGAGGAATGGAAGGAGTGAGTTGAGCGGTGGAGGGGGGAGGGGGGGGGAGGATGATAGAGGAGGAACCAGGTTGCTAACTATGCAGCACCTGTTCACTGTTGTTTCCACGTCCAAAATATAACAGAAACATGACACCTCGCTTCACCTCATTAACAAGTAAGAATGAACAAAATAAAGAAACAATGAACAAAAAAGCGAAAGAGAGAGGAAAGACAAAGAAGTGTTGATCAGGAGGGTGTGTGTGCATGCCAGGCCGCTCCCACTGAATGAATGGAGCGGATGACCTGCAAGATGAAGGTGCGACGCCTCAACATGACAACCCTGCACGTCTGAAGTTACCCATCAAATATTCTCGTTTTCTTTTAGAGCGCTCATTATTCACTTTACGTCCCTCAGTATATTTATTTATTCTCCTGATGGTAATCGTTGCTCGCATCGCCAATTATGTTTTAGTTTTACGTGAATGATAAGGAGACAAGTTTCATTGTATTTCGTTATTTGTCGGCTCAATCTGACACCGAATGAGGATAAGTCGTCCCACAACAAGAGGGGTGGTTGTCTGCGGTCAGAAATTAGCCTGTCCTAACCTTGGACAAGACGGCCCCAGGGGCTGCTGCTGCTGTCTTCTCGTCCCTTGCCCTTCAACATACAACAAAAAAATAGTAAAATAAAAATAAATATCTTGCGTCAAAACTTTCCCACTTTCTCGTAAGTCATTAGTATGAGTGCAAGTGCTCTCACCCGTTCCGGCAAACGTTTGCAGTATGAGGGACCGTGTCGTCGTCGGGCTTGAGAGGTTACGTACGAGCGGCTTAGAGAGAGAGGAGCAGGTCGACCCCTCCCTCCTACCCCCCGGTGGAGCATCCCCCGCTGAGGCCCGCCACAGGTAATGACCACCTTGGACGCGTCTCCCTGGCCACCCTCCCTCCCACACCGAGTGACAAACATCATGGGTAATTAATCTATCCATTAGCTGAGCTAATTGAGGGCCTGTGCTCGTCTTATAAGCGAGTCAGCCCTTAAGACGTGGCCCACTACTGGCAAAAATAGGGTTGGGGGTCTCTCACGACTTTTGGACGGGTTTTAAAGTGGAGGCAAATTAGTGGTGAGTGTAAGTGGACTGCCCCTCGTGAATATAGATGGTCATTTCGTCTCGGTGGCTCCTCTGGGGGTAATTGTAACTTGCAGGGCATGGGTTGCTGCCACCCTATTATCTCCCATCAATGGTAGCCTAACCCATAATGTTAAGATATTTTGTTGTGAGGTGAAATGTCTTATCATGTAACTTAATCATTTACAGTTTTAAGATCTAGTCTTTGTTTTTCTCATTTGGAAAGATCAGAGTTGAGGAGGAGTATACGTATTTTTCCTGTGGTGTGGGAGTATGTTTGTATAACACCGGATGTGACGTGTAGGTATTTTCCCGCCTTGGGGTCGAGCACAGGTCTAAACAAACACTGATAGTACAAGTGTCAGCAGGGGAAGGACCTCCACACACAATATCAACAACAAACGAGGACAAGTCAATCAACTCACCGGAAGGTGCACAGAACTGTTGTGAGTCTTCCTCCTGCTGTTGCTGCTGCAAGGGCTCGTAACTGCTAGCGGCGGCGAGGCTGTAGGGGGAGTCACAGGGCGGCTCAACGTAGGGCGAGGCGTACCCGGCTAGGGGCGAACCATAACTCGTGTCCAGACCGCGATCGTAGCTCGTTTCGAAGCTTGAGTTGAGTGCATCGCACACGTTGTTCTGTGCCTCGTAGGCGGCGTAGCCGGCGGCGCCGTAGTTATTGAGGGTGTTGGTGGCCGAGGTGATGAAACTAGCTTCCATGTCGAGGTCGAGTGCTGGTGTGGTGCGAGATGGGGGCCTGAGTGGAGCAGGAGAACCCCCAACGTTGCGGCTCATGGGCGAGGGCTGACCCACACTGCAGCTGCTGCTGTAGCCGGACTCCCCACCCGGGGACAACAGACCGTAGTCACCGAACGGCACGTCCAGGTAGGACTTACTGTATCCCACCTGCTGATGTGTGTCAAACATCTGATACTGTGGCTGCTGCTGCTGCTGTTGCTGCTGTGCTTGTTGCCCGCCGAAGGTCTGGGGAGTGAATGACTTCTCAAGACCCGGGGTGACCAGGGAATGAAGGTCCAGAACGGTGGTGTCTACACTATAAGCCATCATTGCTCACATGCACCTTCACTATGTGTGCAATGTCCGGCGGTGGCGGCGGCGGCGGCGGCGGAGGGAGGGTTGCGGGGCGCGTGCGGGTGTGTGGCGGGCCAGGGAGGTAGTGTAGCCTGGGCGCTGCTGCTGCTCACTCCTCCGCCTGACTCACTCTCTCAGGGCTGACTCACACCTCTCCCGGGAACTGCCGGGCCTCTCTCCTCCTTCAGGCACGGACTTGAGTGCTCCCGCGGGCGTGTCTCTCTCTCTCTCCTGCAGCGGCGTATCTTCAGGACACCGTCCTCGTCGCCTGCTTCTCTTCAACTGGAGATAAACTGCGGTGAACGAACCAAACACAATAGTCTCGCTGATACGGGGCTCCCCACACGCACAAACAAACACTACCAGCCAACTCGCACACACAAGCGGGCCAGTGGGAGCGTCCTTATTGGTGGCTGGCGGACGTGGGTCTGAGCCGCCTGGTGTCGGGCTCCTCTTTTTATACTTCCTGACGGCGATACTTGGTAACCAGGTGTCGCTTTACTGGGTACGGGAGCACGTGGCCAGGTGGGGGTGTTGAGGGGGGGGGGGGCGTATGGCGTTAAGGTGGGGGGGGGGGAGTATGGCTCGTGCTCAGGTGTTTACTGTGGTGGGGGCGAGGGGAGGTGGGATGGGTACACCTCTTCTACTGGGGGTAATTATTTACATTGCTGGGGTGGTGGTGGTGGTTACCTCTCCTGGGGTGGTGGTGGTGGTTATCTCTCCTGGGGTGGTGGTGGTGGTTATCTCTCCTGGGGTGGTGGTGGTGGTGGTTATCTCTCCTGGGGTGGTGGTGGTGGTTACCTCTCCTGGGGTGGTGGTGGTGGTTATCTCTCCTGGGGTGGTGGTGGTGGTTATCTCTCCTGGGGTGGTGGTGGTGGTGGTTATCTCTCCTGGGGTGGTGGTGGTGGTTACCTCTCCTGGGGTGGTGGTAGTGGTTATCTCTCCTGGGGTGGTGGTGGTGGTTATCTCTCCTGGGGTGGTGGTGGTGGTGGTTATCTCTCCTGGGGTGGTGGTGGTGGTTACCTCTCCTGGGGTGGTGGTGGTGGTTATCTCTCCTGGGGGGGTGGTGGTGGTGGTGATCTCTCCTGGGGTGGTGGTGGTGGTTACCTCTCCTGGGGTGGTGGTGGTGGTTATCTCTCCTGGGGTGGTGGTGGTAGTTATCTCTCCTGGGGTGGTGGTGGTGGTGTCTACCTCTCCTGGGGTGGTGGTGGTGGTGTCTACCTCTCCTGGGGTGGTGGTGGTGGTTACCTCTCCTGGGATGGTGGTGGTGGTGGTGTCTACCTCTCCTGGGGTGGTGGTGGTGGTGTCTACCTCTCCTGGGATGGTGGTGGTGGTGGTGTCTACCTCTCCTGGGGTGGTGGTGGTGGTGTCTACCTCTCCTGGGGTGGTGGTGGTGTTGGTGGTTCTGGTCGAATGGCAGTAGATTGTGGTATAATACCAGTAAAGGATAATGCTAGTAAATGGTCGTAATGCTAGTAGATGATGGTAATGGTAGTAGACAGTTATAGGTCTAGTAGAAGGTGGAAGATTCAGTACACGGTGATAGTGTTAGAAGACGCTGGTAGTGCTAGTAGATGATGGTGCCAGTAGTGATGATTAGAGTTGATGATAGTACTAGTAGTTAGTAATTATTCTAGTAGGTTGTAGTGCTAGTAGTTAGTGGACCACTAGCTAGCTAACATTACTAGCTAGTTATAACTACCTAGTTATAAAACTACTAGCATCGTTATATGCTAGCATATAACGATGCTAGTAGTTAGTGGTTATGCTAGTAGATGGTGGCAAACCCTAGTAGAGGGTGATGGCGCTAGTAGACACTGATAATCCTAGTAGATGATAATGCTAGCAGGTGAGGGTAATAGATGGTTGTGAGCTAGTAGAGTGTGATAATGCTAGAAGAGAGTGATGTTACTAGTAGACAGAGCTGCTAGATGGTGCTAGTATTGGTTGATGGTGGTAGTGTTAGATGCTCATAAAGCTAGTACAAGGCTAGTACAAGGCTAGTACATGGTTGTAGATTGTTAATAAATGGTGATATTGAGAGTAGATTATGGTGATGCCAGTAGATGGTAGTGATGCTAGTAGATGGTGGTGATGCTGGTAGATGGTGGTGATGCAAGTAGACGATGACAATGATAGATTGTGATAATGCAAGTAGATAGTGATCATGATAGTAGGTGGTCGTAATGGTTGTAGACAGTAATAACTCTTGTTATGGTAGGCTTGGTCGATAGTGGTAGTGGATGGTGATAATGCTAGTAGATGATAGTGTTACAGTAGTTAGTCGTATTAGCAGTAGATAATATTCTAGTTGTTGTAATGCTAGCTGATGATGATAGTGCTAGTACATAGTGATAGTGTTAGATAACGTTATTAGATAGTGATAGTGTTAGATAATGTTAGTAGATAGTGATAGTGTTAGATAATGTTAGTAGATAGTGATAGTGTTAGATAATGTTAGTGATAGTGTTAGATAATGTTAGTAGATAGTGATAGTGTTAGATAATGTTAGTAGATAGTGATAGTGTTAGATAATGTTAGTAGATAGTGATAGTGTTAGATAATGTTAGTAGATAGTGATAGTGTTAGATAATGTTAGTAGATAGTGATAGTGTTAGATAACGTTAGTAGATATTGATAGTGTTAGATAATGATAATGTTAGTAGATAGTGATAATGCTAGTAGATGGGGGCAATAAGGATACAAGTGCAAATTAAAAATTCTTTTGCATGCATTTCGTCATTTCGGCAGAAGAAGTGCAAGAGTTCTGGTAACTGGTAGAGCCTGAGAGTTCTGGTAATTGTGGTAGAGCCTGAGAGTTCTGGTAATTGAGGTAGAGTCTGAGAGTTCTGGTAATTGTGGTAGAGTCTGAGAGTTCTGGTAATTGTGGTAGAGTCTGAGAGTTCTGGTAATTGTGGTAGAACCTTGTGGTAGGCCATGGGGTTGTGGTGGAATGTTGCGTTAGCTGACAGCAAGTCTAGAGTGAGGGTTGTCTTAGGCCGTGAGTTGACAAAGTGATGTTTACTGTCTGGGCGTATCGTGGTGCGCGTAACCCCCGCCGTGGCGCTGTCTCCTGTCCGCGTTAACTCTGACGTCACACGCACCGCGCAGATAAAGATAGTGCTATGACTCATCTCTCACCCGATTGGCCAATTGGGTAACGGTGACTTCCGCCAGGATACCAATCGGTGAGAAGTGGGCGGAGTTTCGGTCGACCTTGACCAATGGGGGCACGGATCATGGGGGTGGGGTCCAGCGCGGACAAATAGAGAGGAAGGGGGGCGGAGCCTTGCTAAGGGATTACCCAGCCGCGTGGGAAAGTTGCTCCGTCACCTGAGTCGGTCGGCGACAGCGGTTCAGGGAAGGTGCTCGCAGCTTTGCAAAGGGAGTCTTGCCTTACAGAAAAACACACATGATTCGCACCACCAGCCGCGGGTTTCCGAACCTTTCAGAGTACGGACTTCCACATGAGTACACGAGGGGTCATCTTAAGCAACGCTATCCCACATTGGGGGCCACGCTTAGATGATTTCTCGAAAGGGGCAATATGAAGAAATACAGGAAACGGCCTCGTGGTGGCGTCCCTTCCTGACCATTACTTACCAACCGGGGCCCCACAACACATGTCTGCTTCCGAATAGACTCAAGAATTTCATGAGTTAGCCAAAGCATAAACTATCACCGAGAGTTATTTTATATCAATTAGGGTCATCTGTTCCCCAAGAATAACAGCCCAGGGAGGTTCCACCGTGTTGAGGAACGTCTCCAGGAATGGCTCAGAGGAAGACCACGAGAAAGAGACTCTTCCTACACCCTCGAGGAAGATTGACATCAGAACTGGCTCAGCACAAATACAAATAATTATCAGGAATATCAATTAGCATGAGAATAAAGGAGATGCAGAGTGCCTATTGGCCTATACGAGACAGCTCCTATTGGCCCAAACACGGCAGCTTCTATTGACCAGTACGAGGCAGCTCCTATTGATCCATACGAGGCAGCTCCTATTGATCCATACGAGGCAGCTCCTATTGATCCATATCATTGTCAGTTGATAGCGGTGATCAAGGTGATCAAGGTCAGTTGATAGTGGTGACATTATGGTCCTTTATTTAAGGGTATAGACAAAATAAATGACATATTTGCCGGAAATATCATAATGGGTATATAAAATCTTAGCTAATTCAAGTTTTGTCAATTGCTGCACTCACTCGTTACGCTTAAGGATCGAAGTGGTCCAGTTGGTTGATCTGATATCAGCTTGTTCATTTGATATCAGCCTGTTCTCGCGGGCGTTTCCAACGGCTACAAATTGTCGACATAAAGTGCCCTGACCAAACCTACCAGAGGAGCCACAAACAGAAAACGGGACATGATGTCAATTTCGCGAGTTGCTATAATTTTCTAGTTCGGCGGACGAGCAAACGGGGCTCTCCTAGAAGGGTCTAAAACCTTTACTGACATGAACAATATGACATCACAGTGATGCCACTCACCTCATTCACACCATATATAAAACACAGGATTTTAACTTTTATTTGGGTTAGATTAGGTTAGGTTAAGTTAGATTAGATTAGGTTAGGTTAGACTCGGTCACATTAGCTTCAGCAACCCATCCTCCTGTTTAGTAGCTTTTGTAACTATGTGCACCATAGTACAATGATGTACTAAGCAATTAGGTAATAGAAATTGGTACTATTCACTTTATAGTCCGAAAAAAATGAAGGTAAAAAACTAACTTAAATATTCCTAGGCCTAGTATAACACACATATGTACTATATATGGCCTTATGTAGCGTGTATTAGGCCTAGGGAGGTTATGATAGGTTAGTTTAGTGTGTCTTTGTAACATAACTAGAAAATCCATTTAAATTCAATAGTACCGATCTCTACTTTCCAACTGCGTTGTACGTCGGTATATATGTACTAAGTGTCCTCAGCGTTACTATTATTGCTACCAAAACAAAAGGATGGGCTGGGTTCAGTCAGATTAGGTTAGGCTAAAATTGACTAGGCTATGTCGAGTTAGATTAGGAGATTATGTTCAACATAACAGGCCAATTACACCTGATTAATCTTTGTATGTAGTGGGATTGGGCGGTTATAGATAGGAGCTGCCTCGTATGGGCCAATAGGCCTTCTGCAGTTACCTTTATTCTTATGTTCTTAGGAGGATGTCAAGCGTAGCGAAGATGTCAAGGTGTGCACACTTTTCTCAGCTTTTGAATCCAACTCTCCCTAATGACGTCACTTACCACATGTGTGATCCTCTTTACGGCAGGAAATTTGGAATTCCCTGACCTAATCAACTTGGTCTAACCAATCTAAACTTACCCTAAAGTAATCCGAATAAAACAAGACGTAATGGATATCATGGGATAAGTTTAGATTTCTGAAAGCCCTGGGTAAATAATGGTTTGGTAATAGGATGGGTGATGGACGGGACAA